TTGGCACCAAGGAAGCCTCTTTCCCTACCTAATAATGCATGCATGCATGCATGCATGCATAAATAAATAAATGAATAAATAAATAAATAAATAAATAAATAAATGGTGGCATATTGAAAGTAAACCATCAGCAATCTTTATTATTGCCCCAAATAGCTCCATAAGCATGATACAGTGCTACAGCACAGTGCTTTACGAGCATGTGCACCTGTCTAGAAAAAGGACGAAGGTAACTAGGGTTGCTGAGAGCTAGTTTGGTGTAATGCTTGAAGGTACTGGGCTAGAAACCAGGAGATTGTGAGTCCTAGTTCTTTCTTAGGAATGAAGACAGCTGGGTGATTTTGGGCTAGTCGCTCTAGGAAGAAGGCAAGGGCAAGGCACTTCTGAAAATGTTGCCAAGAAAACCGAAGGGACTTGTCCTTGTATTCATCAGAAGTCAAGTCTGACTTGAAGGCACCAAAACAACAATAACAACAGAAACTAGGGTTGATGGGGGTGAGAGTTCAGGGAATGTTATGGTAAGTCATTATTTTGTAATTGGTTATGTCTCCCACGGCAACCATTTTGTTCATTTAATTTAATTTATTCAATCTAGGCACTGCCCAACTCCAATTTGACTCTGGGTAGTGTATAATAAACAAAATAGAAAATATAATAAAATGATAAAAGAGAACAAGAACTGATCGTGAGTCAGAGTTCTTTGGGAAGGAGGAGGAATGGGTGGCTAAATCAGATGTGGACGGCCATCTTCACTTGAAATCAGTCTCCTAATAAATGGACTAAGTAACCCAAGCACATCTTTTGTATTCCTTGCATGTTCCTTATATTTTGCAGGTCAGACTACAAACTCAACCGAAACCTGTACCGGGACAGCCTCTTCTTTACTCTGGGACCTTTGACTGTTTCAGAAAGACTCTTATTAAAGAGGTATTTTGCCAGTTCGCTTGCAGTGCCTGCCAGAGATGTCATGTTCTCATGTATATTACTGGAATGAATTTGTGTGGGAATGATGCTTGAAACTAGTAAATTTTTGGAGTATATGCTTGATTTTTTTTTTTTCAGTGAGGAGAACTAACTAAAGATAAGAGGAAAGAAAGCTGCCCAGTTTTTAGGCATAAGTATGTATAAGGCTTTAACCCTTTGTCATTCATACTTAATAAACCATGATTTACTCTTACACGCACAAGCCAGAGTAAGCCTTGGGTTCATGCATCTATCTCCTCCCTGCTCCCCTATTGTATGACAGGACATGGAACCTTCTGTCTGTTATTCCAAGGCAGTGTTTTTCAACCTTGGCAACTTTAAGATGTGCAGACTTCAACTCCCAGAATTCCCCAGCCAGGAAAGTCCTGTTTCATATCTTAGAAACAAATTCTTACTAAAATAAAAATGCTGAAGTTTTATTTTGTTTTGCTTTTTGAAAGAAGCTTGAGGGAGCAAGAGCATAGGTTAGTGGAATACCTCACCCTTGCTAAATATGCTTACCTGGAAATAAACCACCTTAAATATGGTGTGGATCACTTGCCAAAAAATATACAGAGGACTGTGTTAAAAGGTTTCTTTCATCAGTTAGGAACCATATGATAAACTGATGCTCATACCAAAGACTTCTGGAAAAAAAATTGCACTTTTCAAGAATATCTTGCATAATTTCCTTTTGTGTCAAGATACCCAACAATTAAATACTTTTGTTTTTAATCATTATGATCCCCAATTGGTCCTGGAATGCAGCAGAGCAGCCTAGAGACTTCCCTTTGGAGGCTGTTAACACTGCCCACAAATACAGTCCATAAGTTATTGGAATATTCCTTTTTCTAAAGTCTGTTTCCTCAGAAGGGTTGGCTACCGATAAGCAATTATGTCTCCTTTTGCAGAAGAGTATGCTGATTGTTCTCTTTAATAATGTCTGTCTGCAATAAAGTTTACTTATATATGCATTTGTTGGGTTTTTAAACTGCCGCAATCATGACTGTCAACGGTTTACAAAAATAAAAACATCTGTAATACAATAATATCATAATAATACAAATGGGCATAAAATATTTAAATATCTCAATTGGAACATCCAGACAAATATCTCAGTTGGAACATCTGGTGCAATCTTAAATAGCTGAAACAACCCTCCAGAAGAGTTCTGTTTCTCCAGGTTCTGCAAGGCCTCCACTCTCAGGGCAAGACTTGATCCACGCTGGAAAGCCGTTACAGTCTGGGGGCTGTGATAGAGAAGCAGATCCTTCTCACCTCGCCCTTTCTAATCCCTTAGTGATGGGAGAATACCAACAATCTTTCCAGAGTTGTTTGCATCAGATGGGTGGATTCCGGTTGAAGAAGGCCAACTTGCAGATACCTGGCATCAAGCCGTATAAAGATTTGTAGGTTAAAACCAGAAGCTGCATCCATCTTGGCAACTAACATAGGTTCTACAATATAGGGGTAATATATTCATGGCATCTAATGCCAGTTAGCACAGAGGCTGCTGCATTTCATACCAGCTGCAGTTTCTGAATGTCTTAAAAGCAATCCCATAAAGAACGCATGGCAGTAGTTGAACTAGATAATTCCAAATAGCATAAGTGACATCTTGGAAAAGATATGTGTATAATTGGAGAATCGAGTTCCCTTTGAATTGGGCAGAAACTTCACGTAATCCTTGATGTTGTTGTAGGTTGGTTGTTCGGCTGCTATTTGTATGTTTCATAATTTTGTTGTATTGTTTTTACTCTGTTTTTAATTGTTAGCCACCCAGAGTTGTGTACTTGAGATAAGCAGCCATATACATTTAATAAATAAATATATAAATAAATGATCCACTGGTCTACCGTTTCTCACAGGGCTTCCGTGGCTTGTATAAGGGGATGGCAGCCCCCATTGTGGGTGTGACCCCCATGTTTGCTGTGTGCTTCTTTGGATTTGGCTTGGGCAAAAAACTGCAACAGAAGACACCAGATGATATCTTGACGTGAGTCATGAAATTGTTCAGACTATTTAAGGGATGTGCTCTTGAGGTTTTCCAATCTGCTGCTGTTTTTCAAAAATTACGCATTCTGGCGCTGCAGCCAAAAATTAAATTATATTTTTCTTGGTTATAAATAGGGGTTTTTTTTAATAAAAAAAAAACCTGGCAAGTTTTAAAGTTCCTAAAAACAGACATTGTGTAGGTTGTTTCTGTGCGGTTCTCTTCCCAGGCAAAACATGTCTCTTTAGGAAGGAATATGTTTTAGTTCAGTATAGTGTGTTACATCATGAAAGGCTTGTAACACTTTCTCTTAATGGTGATTCAGAGTACAGGTAGTCCTCACTTAAAGAGAGTAATTGGGACCGGAATTTCTGTTGCTAAGTGACGTGGTCATAAAGCACGTTACATAACCAAGCCGCTCAGCAATGGAAATTCCGGCACCTCCAGTTGCCGTCATTAAGCGAATCACTGTGGGTCATTAAACAAGGATGTCATGTGATTGCCATTTGCAACCTCCTGCTGGCTTCCCCAGTAAATTTGCTTGTAGGAAGCTGGCAAAGAAGGTCACAAATGGCAATCATGTGGCTGTGGGGATGCAGTGACCATCATAAGTACGAGGACCAGTCGTAAGTACCACTCGTTCAGCCCCATCGTAAGTCTGAATGGTTGCTGAAGGAGTGACTGTTAAGTGAGGACCATCTGTAGGTAAATCTCATCTATACGCCATAATAACTGTTCTGCAGGGCCCAGTTTTGTGATGTACATCACGCATCCTCCTCACTGCGTTATCCATCTGCCCAGCACATTCTCAGTTCTCCAGTAGTTAACAACATCTGCATCATAAGGAATTACAAGATTTTACAAAAATCCATTCTGCTTTGTCTTCAGTTCCTTGCATGCTTACTTGAATATTAAGATTTTTTTAAAGAGGTACTTCCACACAAACATTTACAGTCCAGGTTACCTGGCTGTAGTTTTAACTTCAGTTAATTAAAAGGGGCTGTTGAAATGAATAGGACTTAATTCTGAATGAATATGATTGTAGAAGTCACACTGTTCCCTGTGGGATGGCATGTTTATGTAGCTTAAGTTTGGTTAAGGAGGTTTCAATTCAACAGTTAATGAAAACAAAGGGATGAATGAATTTTGTTTGTCTTCATCTCCCTTCTACATTTTGAAATTCAAGATAATGCCCATAGGCACCAAGGTGCTCTCAGATGACTCCCTTGGTGTCCACCAGGTTCCCTACCCTCACTTAATTTTTTTCCCATAAAATTGGAATCTGGCTTACTGCAAAGCACCAACTTCTAGCATTGCATTTATCTGTAGCAATCTCTTTCCATACCGCAAGGATCCCATAGAGATAATAGGTCACATCCTGGAGGGCAAACTCGCCCTTCAGTAAATACAGTACTATATCTTTGTTTTACAACTCGCCAGGTACATAATGGTAGACATGTAAATGTGCTCCCCATGTTATCTGCAAATTCCAAATGTGCCTTCTGCTCAGCTAGATTGCCTACAGATGCTTTAAAAAATAAAGCATGCACACATTTGTATTAGTTATTGGAACAATATATACAGTATGCAGCATATAGTATTTCAGCTTTCAAAGTCATATATTCATCAGCATATTCAAGAAGCACATAATACATTGAAATCCCAAGATTATTACTTTGACGCTTTTGGATACGTCAGAAAACTGTTACATGAACCAAACCAAAAAGAACTTGTCCAGTGTTGCAAATCCTAGTCTGTGATTCACAGCCTGAATCTCACATACTAGGATTTGCAATACGGGACAAGCTCTTTTTTCATTTATGTTTGACATGTATGTCCTGGTTGTGGGCATCTTTTTCTCATTATCTTTCTGTTATTTAAAAGTAAGCCAAAATCATGTTAACTCTGGGAGATCTGTACAGGTTCCATTTGTCTTACTACTGCTATTGAATCCTGTTCTGGGTGGGAAATATAGGAAAACACAGTCACTTGGTCAGCGTTTAGACAAAGAAGCAAACTGACTTAAAATAGCTTTAAATGATTTATAAATAGCTTCATTTGATTCTACAGTGTATCTATCGTCAGTCAGTGCTTGCCTACTCTGGTACTAAATAGATTCTTAGCCCTGGGTCCCTGTCAGATAAGGTTTTCCTGGGCTACAATTCTAAGCCTCTTCCAGGCCTGCCCTTCCACCTTCACTTCTCAAATCCCTCCACTGAAGTTCTCACCTCATTCTAGAATATAAACCAGGATGAGATGCCTTGTGTTGCCATAATTTGATAGACAGTTCCGCTATCCAATCAACACGGTATTGCAGTTCATATAAAAATACAGTAATGACATATCTTATCTGCTCCTTTCTCTCCAACTATTTTTAGGTATCTATATCTTTTTTCCTCTCCAAAGGTAGACTAGATAGATTAGACAGACAGATAGATAGGATAGCAATGTTGGGGTTTGATATTGGATTCATTCATCATGCCAAGCCATGGCTTGCGTTAGCCACTACTTGTAAAATAAACAATAGTTGACCATCCACAGATGACATAAATGATAGTTTGTAAGTCACAGCGGCTTGAGTCACACAACGTATGAATGCATAAACAAACAACAGTATGAATTTACATGATACATGATACATGAACCATTCTCTTTTCTTCTTCTTTTCCTCAGCTTCATGAACTGTAGTCCAGTGTGTAAACAAGATCATTATCTTTAATTAAAGATCCATCATTAATGGATAGATCTTTCCCGTCTTTACCTTTGTTTAGAAAACATAGCTTTTAAAATGTCATTCCTGATGTTTTAACACCCCCTCCCAAATTGTTTTCATATAAAACATTAGATTTATTTTGCATATTATTCTGCCTTGTTGGCTGCATTTACCTGGATAAGTTATATTGATACTTGAGACAAAAATCTTGAGCAATAATATTTACTTGACCCATGTCTGTTTTGCCTGATTTTGACCAGCTGGAGGAAACTAGAGTAGTGAAAATCTCTCCTTGGCTCTTTCTAAAGCATCTGTTGGGATATAAATGGAAAAAAATTAATGGCATAATTAAATTTTGCTGAGAACATTGGTTTTCATGGCACATAATTGGAACTTTTGGCTCTGAGAATGGACTATCTTTATGTTTGTTTGTTTGTTAATTGTTGCGTGGATTTTTTTTTTTTAATTTCTAGAAAAGGAACTCTTCAGAAGGAAGAATTATTCCTAAACTGTGTCTAACATAGCTTGGCCAAGACTTAATTCATTTTTTATGTTTAACCTACATCCACAATGTCCTGTCCACTCTGTATAGATATCCTCAACTGTTTGCAGCAGGAATGTTATCAGGGGTGTTTACCACTGCCATTATGGCACCAGGAGAGAGGATCAAGTGCCTGCTACAGGTAAGAGAAGAAGCTTTCCATGCTTCTTCCCCCAACTGAACATTATCTTGCTATCCACATTGTTTATTTATCCTTCTTTAGCCAAAGATTAGCATAGTGTCATATTCATAATAATCTTGCTGACAATTTTCTACATATTTTGATGTCCCCATGTCAATGTATATATATAGAGAGACAATATGCAAACATGTAGATAAAAGTATTATGTGTATGGGAGATAAAATGCTCAAATTTCAGAACACTATGTCTTAATTCTTGTAACCATCAATATTCCAATTTCTCTAGCATTGTTTCATTGTGATGTTAGATTCCTATGATGGCTAAAACTGGAGCACAGAAATAAGCAGAGAAACAAGAAAGGCAAGTCAAGTTGGAAATCTCATTGCCTGGTTAGAGATTTAGGATCCTTCTAAGATCCTAAGATTAGAGGCTACCCTTCATAGAACCAAAGTATATGCATGTTCTTTCTCAGTAGATTGTTAACTCTGTCCTGAAGTTGGAACAACATTCTCCCATTAAGGCTGAAAATCCTGGTATATGTATGCATGTTACATCAGTAGATGGAATCTCCTTTGAAACAAGCTTGACTCTAGTGATTTCATGGACGAGCCAATACCATTTTCTTGGCAACAGAATAAATGTGGTTCATCACCTATAGTTCTGGTATTCCTGGGAAGTGTCCCATGCAACTGCTAACCAGCCTGACCCTGCTTAGCTTCTCAGTACAGGCAAGATCACCCAAGCGTGCCACCTGCTGGGGCATATGCATGGTAGTTGGGTGAATATTGTGGTTGAGTTCATACTAAGTCAAAATAGAGTTTGTTTAATATTCATTTAATGTTTCGTGGGAATCCAGCTAATTGTACTTTATTTAATAATTTAAGGTTAAGCAAACCATGGGTTAGCAAGATGTATGAACCCAGTTAAAGTGTCAGCAAAACATGGCCAACTTTATATCAATCTATTATATTATCTTTGAGTTTCTAAAAGTGTTCTGTAACTATAGTTCCTTGCAGTGAAGGCAGGGCCAATCCAGTAGACCAGAACAGTCTCTTCTCTTGTCCCCTTCCTTCAAAAACTCTTTCTGTGGGAGTAAAAAAGAAACTCTTCCAGTATAAAGAGAAAGAAGTAGCTGGGATTGATTCTTTGGATTGTTCTGTTTCATTTAAAGATCTATTTAGATCAGCCCAACCTTCAGTTATCTTAATGTTTTGAATTGTTTTCCTTAACCCCTTGTTTCCATATAAACATCCTATCTCTTTATTTTCAGACATATTTTGAAAGTCTTCCAAGGCAAAGTCACAGTTACAATTATGGACAATGCTCTTCACAAAAGCTTTTACTGGGGCTTCTTGAATGAGATGTTAGAAGCTGGATGCTTAAACAGCTAGAAAAATATTCTGGGAGAGATGGCAGCAATTGGTTTATTTTTTCAATTTTCACCTTTTTGGTGCATAATCAATAAACTCCTCTCATCTCATGGGTGATTTCTTAGGAAAGGTTTAGATGCACAGAATCATTTCAACAGTAGCTTAGATCTAGGAAGACTGGATTATTTAAAGAATAGTATGTTATAATTGATGAGGCAATCATTCTTTTAATCATTTAGATCCAAGCAAGCTCTGGTGAAAAAAAATATGCGGGACCCTTGGACTGTGCCAAACAACTATATCGTGAAGCTGGCATTCGAGGCGTGTACAAAGGAACAGTGCTTACCCTCATGAGAGGTAATGTGGATAATTGTTCTTAAAATAATTGAACAAGAAGAGCCTGCAAATGGCTTCTTTTTGACCCTGATTAGCTAATACACTTGACAAGGTCATTATAGAGTGGTGGTTAGCCTGTCCTGCAAGTAGAAAATCTGAGTTGATTCAGCCAGTTTACTCTGCAGGGATTAGATTTAGCCCCAAATAGACCCAGTCCCATGTTTCTAAGATCACTGTTCTATTGCCACTCTGAATAACCCTAGACACATGGGGGAAGGGTCAGAAATGAGCAGAAACAGGGGGAAGATAGGTAGGGTCCTCCAGACTTGTCCATGGGAGGTTGCTTACGATCATGCCACCAGAGTTGCATTTTCATTTTTAAAAAATTGTTCTCCTCCCCCACAACAAAAAAGGAAGTGAGGCTGGTCGCAGTAGTTTCCCTTGCACTAGCTAGAAGGACAAGGATGATGGCCAGTACATTAAAGACCCCAATGTCTCCTCACCTTATGCCCAGCCAGCTAACTGTGAGAGGGAATGGCAGGATTATTTCTGTTGTATGAGCAGTGCTTCTATATCTTATTGCAATGTTCTTTTTCAACCTTGTTTTCTCTGTCAATCAAATCAAGGCTTAAAGCAGCAGGTGGAGTGCATTGTTTTATGCCATTTTTATAATTTTGCTTACAGAAAGCTGGCAGGATTCGTCCTTTTGTCCTTGCCCAATTTGGGCTTTTGACTAGCTCTGCAGTTGTGTCTCTCATTTCTCTAAATTGCCTCTGTTTATTGGACCAGATGTTCCAGCCAGTGGGATGTACTTCATGACCTATGAATGGCTGAAAAACATTTTGACACCTCAAGGGCAGAGGTAAGGAGAATGCTGGATTTCTCACAGGAACAGCTGAGAAATTCTTTGTATTCTGGAGTGAGAGCTTCATAATGATGGTTTGGTGAGATGATCAAAGCATTATTGTGAATAATATAATTTGGCATTTATAAAATGTGTTTTTAGGGATCAAACCAATGCATCTTATAAGGACAGCTAATAGATTCATCAGTATAATGTACCATGGACTATCTATTATGGCACAAGGGCCGAGTAACTGAATTTCTATATAGTGATAAACTGTGGTTCACTTAAACATAGTTTGTTAAATAAACCACTGTTAGCTATGTTCTAAAACTTGCTGACCTAAAACCAAACATTAGGCTTTAACTCAGGGGTTATGTTAATCTACATACAATAATTAATTTAGGAGCTTTAATCCTAACAACAAATTGCAAAAGGACATTTTCTTCTTTTAGCACAGTACAGTTTGAAGACTATCAACATGGCTTCCTGCTGAATCTGGAGCAATTTGATCAAGATTGATCAGCACTGACAATGCAAGTCAGCTGTACTTTTAAATTAAGCTTGATGTGCCGGTGGCCGTAGTAGTAATTTTTTCTACAGGGATCCTGCAAAGAAGTCAACTTCTTCTGGGCTAGTACAGCCCATTTTGAAGTAAAGCTGCTGACTGCATTTAAAGGAACTGCTTACTGTTTAACATTTGCCCCTAATGAGTCTGAACAAGATGCATCAGATATTTCTTTTCTCCTGTTTTTTTTTGTAGCCATTCCTTTTAATCAATACTTGTTTGCCTTTTTCTCCCTGCCCCCTGCTTTCCACAGTGTCAGTGACCTCAGCGTACCTAGTATACTCTTTGCTGGAGGCATGGCGGGGATCTTCAACTGGGCTGTTGGAATCCCTCCTGACGTATTGAAGTCGCGATTCCAGACAGGTGAGTTAACTAACACTCTCATAAAGATTATAGGAGGCAGTAGCAGATTTAAAGGTAGGATTTGTGGAGAAAAGTTTTCTGTCTTTCGATAGCTTTTCATACAAGTAGTTCTTTTTTAGCAACTGCCTCATTTAGTGATTGTTTGCAGTTATGACAGTGATTAAAAAGTAACTTTGCAACCAATCCTTGCATTTATGACCTTCACAGTCTATAAAACAAAGGAAAGCTGAAGTAAGATGGTAAGAACAGTTGTGGTTTCACTTAGTGACTGCTTTGCTTAATGACTGAGTTGCTGGTCCCAACTGTGGTTGCTAAATGAGGACTACTTGTATAAGGTGGTCAATATTTAGATCTCATTCCAAATATTTAATCCTTTCCTATCAAATCAGGCAGAAAAATTGAACTAGAACACTGTTGGTTCAAGTATCTTCTCTATTTAATTGCTATTTTATATATTTAGAGGTACATGGATGGGTGGTTACTAATATCCATGACTCTCCCTTCTCCCCCCATTTTCTGAACTGCATTGTTATCCCATTGTATTCTCATGAGAATGCACGGTTGAAGATTAGGTCTTTTAGGGTTCATTTGCTCATAATCTTTCCTGGAACTCTTCTGAAAATCATTCCTGGGCAATAGTCCATGACAGGCTCTGGTTTAATCTGGCATTGGATGAGGCATTTGCATTTTTCTTTGTGTATGTTGGTTGCGGCTGATAATGCAGAAGAAATTCTCATTGTCCTACTCCATTCCCACCTCTCTTCTAATTGCTAGCTTTAATGTGTATGATTCTGGTCACCATGGGAATTGGAGTAGTATAATACAGTCCTTGTTTAGTGACCATTTGCAGTTATGTGAATAACTGTTATGTATTGAAAAAGTAACTGCAACCAATCCTTGCATTTATGACCCTCGCAGGTCTGTAAAGCAAAGGAAAGCTGAAGTAAGATCATAAGTACAGTCGTGGTTTCACTTACTGACCAGTTTGCTTAACAGCTGAGTTGCCAGTCCCAATTGTAGTAGCTAAATGAGGACCACCTGTGATCCCATCTTGCATCACACATGATGCCTTCCATTAATCATTTTCCAAAGCACTTATGGAGCTGGTTCTTGCAGCTGGGTTAAACATTGAAAATCACATCTTGTCTGGTCAGCTGTGGCAAATATAGTTGCCACCAGGCAAAGAATTTGAAAGTTTTATAAACTGGTATGAAAATTGCTTTTTTCAGGTTGTTGCCCTGGTCCTAGTGTCTGCAAGAGTGGGTAGCTAGTGAAAAAAATTTGAGCTAAAACTTTTCTGGATTCTTTTGAAGATTTGGCTTAGCATTAGTGACACAGATGTGCTTTGCAATTTGGCAGCTCTTTTAGATTAATTCAGAAAGATTTTCTGAATCTACCTTTTCCCTGTGTGTGTGTGCTAGCTACAGTATGGTCAGTTACAGGACTCGCCTTGACCGAACAGGCAAGTAGCTAATTACAAGGTGGTTGTGTCCAGGGTTCTTCATCCAAGAAATGGTGCCTTTTTTTCCTGGGAAGTGCTTCATAGGATGGACATTGGCGAAAACTGTCTTGCCTTTCCTTTTCTTGATTCTCTCACTCTTACGTTTTTATTTTCTTCCTCTTTTACCTTTGCAGTATAGGCTGTGCATAACTGGCTATTAAAATGTTTACTATAAAGGGAGTATCTTACATTTCTTTGCTGATAATGAGGGGAAGTTCCAGGCTTTACAGCCTGCCTGGAACACGAGTTTCAGGTCTCTTGTGGGCTAACAAAAAAGTAATTTTCTACCAAATAGATTAGAGAAGACGGATGAAGTGACTTGTCATTCTGCCAGCCTCTTGGCTTCCATGGTTTTGCACAGGAAGGACTTTTCTCTTTTCCATGAGTAATTACCGAAACCAAACAGGCTGCTGAAGAGGAAAGAGATTTCAAGCATTCTCAGTTAACCCTCTCGCATGCCAGAAATCCAGGCAGGTTGACAAATGTAAGACTTCTGCAAGCAGTAGGGGCAGGGACCATCACCTTGTTTGTGCGTTGTTGCTACTGCAGAGATGTGAAAATCTTCCACTCCCCATAATTGTGGTTAATTGAGGAGCATTTGACCATTATGGCAAGCTATAGAAATAAAGAGGAATGGAGAGGGAAGAAGGAGTCTGATCAAAGCCTCTGGGTGGATGAGGTTCATGACATGTATTTTTGCCTTTTTCAACAGCTCCTCCCGGGAAGTATCCAAATGGCTTCCGAGATGTACTGCGAGAGCTTATTCGAGAGGAGGGAGTGATGTCTCTGTACAAGGGATTCACCGCTGTGATGATCAGAGCCTTTCCTGCCAATGCAGTAAGTGGATGGTATCTTTAGTTGGACTTCTGTATTGATTCATAGGTTTATTCAGTTCTATTTGTTTAACTCAATTTAGAAGCCACTTCGTTCATCCAAGCAACTCTAGCTAATGTATTGCAATACAGGTAGTTCCCGGGTTAAGAATGCCCGGGTTACAGATGACCCATAGTTCAGAACAGAGCCTATTGTACCAAAATCCGAGTTAAGAACACAATGGTTCGAGTTAAATACACGATTCTACTTATACGGTATTATACAATAATGCCGTTCTGACTTACATACAAATTTGACTTAAGGACAGACTTTGGGAATGGAACTTGTTCTTAAACTGGGGATTACCTGTACTAGAACAATAAAACAAGTAGAAAACATAATAAACCAACAACAGCAACAAAATGCATATTACAGGTAGTCCTCATTTAGCAACCACAATTGGGACTAGCAACTTGGTCATTAAGCAGAGTGGTCGCTAAGTGAAATCGTGACTGTGCTTATGATCTTAATTCAGCTTTCCTTTGCTTTACAGGCTTGCAAAGGTTGTAAATGTGAGGATTGGTCTTAAAGTTACTTTTTAATCACCATTGTCACTTTTTAATCACAGTTGAACAGTTGCTAAATGAGTCACTAAGCAAGGCCTACATTTACTATATCAGGGAAGGAAACACGAAGAACCAACGAATACAATCCCAATATCACTGTAGGGTCACAAAGTGTCCTGCCTTGGGGACTGTTAGAAAGAGCCATGTTCTAAGGGTTTTTCTAAACAAAAACAAGGTAGACTTTGGAGTGGATATTATCCAACGGGGCAGGTGTGGCCACATGTCTCCGAAGTCTCCCAAGTTGGCATAATTTAAGTGACGGGACCTGGAGCATGCCTGGATCTAATAGGACAGCAGACATAACTAGAGAGAGCTGTTCCCACAGATAAGCAGGCCTTAACCATTATGATGGACTGCAGTAGTGCAGCAGGTTCTCAGGAAGGAGGGAGCACATTCCAGGAATGGGGGCGAGACAAGACAGTGCAGTCGGAGCAGGAGCGTGGGAAGAGGAAGAGATCTAGGATAGCCACTCTCTAGAATCTCCCAGGGTATATCCACTAGGTTATAGTAGTACAGATTCAGTGTGGTAAGATTCTGTCTATATGGTGTAAGCAATGAAAGAATGAACTTGGCTGGACTGTTTCCCTGTTGTTCTTGGGCTGGGCCTGACAGCCACGAAGGGCTTTTTATTGATGATAACCAATGCCTTCAGTATTGTGTGAACCATTTCCATATTGTTGCTGAGAAAACAGCATCAATGTGTCAGGACGACCTGCTAGTGTACGATGAGACTAAGTTTAAAATCATTGCATTGGTTATCACTAGACTTCCAGCTGAATTTGAAGTGCTGGACAAACTCCAGACAATATAGCACTGGGATATATCAGGCACTGTCTTGCCAGAATCGAATCTGCCTGCGCAATCCAGATATCTAGAGAGAGCTGGTTGGGAATTCCACCCCTTGAGAGGTACTGTTCACGAGGTGTGAACCAGATCATGTGCTTCTCTGTGGTAGACCCACTCTCTGGAATTTTTTTTTTTTTGTCTGCGCTCAGTCATTGCTGACCCTGCAGTGACTGCTTGGACGAG